TTTTTTTTTTTTTTTTTTTTTTTTTTTTTTTTTTTTTTTTTTTTTTTTTTTTTTTTTTTTTTTTTTTTTTTTTTTTGCTTGTTATTTTCTTTTTACTTCTTTCGTTGTATTTCTTTCATCAAAGGGCAGCTCCGGGAATTGAACGCCCGGTAGTCCGAACCTCAGCACGGATCCGCCTACTGGTCGGTCGAGGCTCGGACTCGATAGCTGGGCCAGGTACTGGTGGTTTAAGGACGGCCGTCTCAAGGGTTTCGTCAAGAGGTTGTGGAACAAAAAAACAAGTTAGGGAAAATTAAGCACCTTCCGTGAGCCTTTGAAACTCAAGTATTTTCAAGTAGTGTCGAATGAGGGCCACAGGTACCGGATCCTTTGGTCGGTCATAGATTCTTTTTTTTTTGGGGTGGGGGGGGGGGGGGGGGGGTGGGGTTTAAAAAGGGTTTTTTTTTTTTTTTTTTTGACCGTTTCACGATTTATGCGTGTCATCCTTGCGCAGGGGTCATGCTAATCTTCTCTGTATCGTTCCAATCCCCGAAGGACCAAAAGGGCATTTGGTCGCTGGTTATCCAGAGAGGGGTTGAAAGACAAAACAGGCTGATTATCCGGAGTGGAGGAAAGTTTCAGAGATATGCGGTCGCTTGTTATCCGGAGAGGGGTTGAACGACAAAACAGACCATTTGTGGTCGTTGGTTATCCGGAGAGGGGTCGAACGACAAAACAGGCTGATTATTTGGACTGGAGAAAAATTTGAGGGACTCATTTCTGCAGCCGGTCACCAAAACGGAGGTCCTGGCCCAGCCTTTAGGTGCTGATCTGACTACTACTACGGAACATAGTCTACTGGGTTTCACGGGATCCGACTACTTTCCGAGTTTGTAGGTCTCCCCGTCGAGTTCGGCAGCTAGTGAAAACAAACGTGTACGTGGCAGGTGTTCCGCGACCCGTGGTGAAAAATAACTTGCCAAAATCGAAAGAAGCCAGCACTGTTCCGGCATCTAAAAAGAAGGCGTTTTTTTTTTTTTTTTTTTTTTTTTT